AAGGATTGATGGACACCGATGCGAAGGGCGTCCCTCTTGAGCTGGCGCACCTGCGTTGTGATCTCAATGGCATGGGCCGCAAGCGAACTGATCCCCTCCGACCGCACCACCTCCAGGTCATCACAGACCACTCCAAGGGCGGCGCTCAGGATACCGAGCTCATCGCTCTCCGCCTGAAGGTTCCTCCTTGCCTTGGCGACCTCTGTGGCCAGCCCAGTAGAGATGCCCTCGGCCTCTAGCCTCTGAGTTGTCAGGGTTCTGAGCTCAGCCTGGAGGTAGCCGATCCTCTGCTGCGCCTCATTGCGCTCTCGGACGGCCTAGTCACGCTCCTCGTGGGCCGCGCCATGCTCCGAGCGGAGCCTCCCCGTGGTTTGAAGCAGCTCATCTAGCTCTTTGCACAGCCGGGCGACTGCCTCGCATCTAGACTCGCCCTTCGCTCCAGGTCTATGAGTTTCTCCTCGGCTACTAGCTTCAGCTCCTGCTCCTTCTCAGCCTCGGCCAGAAGGTCGAGGATCCACTAGTGGGTCTCGGCGTCCCTCTAAAGTAGCTCATCTTGCTCCCTCCTGACTCTAGCGGCTTCCTCATCATCTTGCCATGCCCTCGCCGACAGGGCCTCAAACACCCTCTCGGTCTCCTCCTCATGTCGACAGGCCTTAGCCTCCCATAGTCGGAGACTGTCCGCCTCCTCAGCAAGGGGAGTCAGCTCGACCACCCTCTATTGTGCGGCAAGGAGCTGGGTGGTGATATTCCCGTGCAGCCGTGCCTCTTCGACAATGTGGTCCCAGTTCTCCTTCTGCTCGCGAAGGAACCGAGATTTCTCCTGGCTATGAGCGATAAGAGACTAAAAAAGATGATGGTCAGAACACAAAAATACATGAAGAAAGAAGAAGGCGAGAGGCAAGGTTAAGTGAATACCTAGCCAGTGGGAACGACGACTTCGCGTAGGGCACCCCTAGCATGGTTCAAGGCTTCCAGCACAGCCGCAATCCCCTCGTTGAGACTCTCCTGCTCCATGCTCTCAGTGGCATCGTCGAGGGTGAAGAGTGTCGATGTTGGGTCCTATGGATTCATCCACCATAATAGGGGCTTGTCCCATGAGGGCGAGTGGCTGCCCCCCGACGTCGAGGCTAGGGAAGATTCCACGCCGGTCTTCTCTGCCACCACCACGACGTTCGGGGACCCCTCGTCCGCGTCCCCCTTCGTCCGGCCCACGTCTGGCGGCGTCACTTGGGCCACCGGTGGCGCGGGTCACACCGCTGCCTCAGGCATCGCCATGGTTACATATGGTTGTGTCCCACCTGTCACAGCCGCTGCCCCCTCCACCTGTGTCTATAGGGCCTCGACTGGCGGCGTCGCACCAGCCGCGGCTGGCGCCACAAGCGCGGTCGGTAGCTCCATTTGCCCCATCGTCGGCAGTGGTATCACCTCCATCGCCAGCTGCCCAGCCACCTCTGAGGACATCCCTCAAGCCCCAGCGCCCGCTTGTCCCACCAAGAGCACGGGCGCCACCGTGGGCGGCGCATGACCGGCCGGTGAGATAGTCGCACCGGCGTCGCTCTCGCCCGAAATGAGTGCGGCGCCAACCGACGACTGCCACCCTGCTGGAAGGGCGCCGCCCTTCTCTGACACCAGCACCAAAGGATTATGCCGCTTCATGATGCTGCGAAGAAAGAAAAGCATAAGTCACGAAGAAAACAGAGAAGAACAGAGAAAAACAAAAGAGCTAATGACCTACATTGGTGCTGTTGAACGGCGGATATGTTTGGAAGGCAAACCCCTAGACCCCTGCTCCACCACGTCGGGGCGGGGCCGTTTCGAGCCCGCCCCCTGCTCCTGGGTAGAGGGGCTCGCTTCGCTTGCACCTTGGGGCATGGCGACATCGATACAGTGGAAGCGTGCACCTCATCAATGGTGCCACCCTCCTCGCATGGTAGGCCCTGATGATGCCCAACCCCTTCAGGCCCCTCTCCTTCAGGATACGGATGGCGACGAGGTGGTCCCAGATCTTCTTCTTGTCCTTCTCCGGGACACCCCACTTCCACAAATCTAGGGCCTCTTCGATTAAGCGCCCGGAGAACTCCGGCAGGGGGGCGACAGTGTCGTTCTTGAGATAGAACGAATGCGAATGCCACCCTTTATTGGAGGTTGACAGCCACATCGATGGGTACTCGCTGACCCAGTTGTTCCGGAGGAGGATGTCGGCACATCCCATTAGCATATTTAGCTCCTGCTTCTTCTCCCTCTTCTTCTGGAGGGTAACGGCGAAGAAGCGCCGCCACAGATCAAAGTGGGATCTAATACCTAGGAATCCCTCACACAGGGCGACAAACGTCGCCATGTGCTGGATTCCATTAGGATTAAGGTGCTGCAGCTCAATCTTGTAGTAGTGCAGCAGCCCCCGAAGAAATCCGTGAGCAGGAGTAGCGAACCCTCGCTCATGGAAGTGCGCGAACGACACCACATAGCCGGTGGGCGGCCATGGCATGTCCTCCTCGCTGGGCAGTAGCCACTCGTCCACGGTCCACGCGTAGAGAAGACCGCGATGGACGAGGCCCTCCATACGCTGGAATGTGATGTCAGAGCGACACCACGGATCCATTAGAAGATGGAAGCGGGTGAACGTGAGCTCGACGACGACCGAAGACATGGATGCAGGAAGCCTAGGCGATTGGCAGCGGAGGTTGCAGATGCAAAGGCAAAAAGGCAAGGTAAGAAACCATGGGGGCGAACCCTCTGGTTTTATAGGGGCGACGGACGTGAGGAAATCAACCGTCCACCTAGATCTCCGCACCCACCACGATCTGCTATAACATCACGCCGCGGGATATACGCATGCAATCCCTATCCTTTCCCTTGGAAGACGCGCCAGACATTTCGCCTCCCCGGGCGGGCCATGACTCGTTACGAGTAAGAGGAATACGGATCAAAAAACGCTTTTATGGCCCATCCAGGCCCAGGGGTTCGACGGTTAGCCCATTAGCAGGTTCGATATCCACGCCAAGCACCCTTACGATGCGGGATGGAGGGAGATGGGCCCCGCAAGCAGCCAGTACCTAGGCGTACAAGCGCCATAGACATCTCGGCCCACGATCGGGCCTCATCCAGGTTGACCTTAGCTGGATCCCCGCGAACAGGATGCCTAGGCCCCAATCGAGCTATCCAGCTAACGAACCACCAAAACTCACGGCCATACCCACGAAGGGTCCGACCTCGACAAGAAGGAATCACCGAGCCCAGAACATGTCGTGGGCGACAAAAGAAGGCCAGGGCCCTCAGGGTCCTCCCTTTCACAAAACCTTCGAAGGAGTATTCTACTCCTCCGTAGGCTCAGGGGCTACACACATTGGGTGCGCTCGTGCGCACCCACTGGCAAGTCAAAAAAACTCCTAGGTGATTCTACCCGAATCGCCTGGGGGCTCGGAGGCTACTGTCGGGGACCAATACTAGGGTACCCGAAGTGGAGCTAATAACCATCAACGGTTGATTCATCCAAGTGGTCAGGAGCGCGACTACACCTCTTGCTGGGCTCCGCCTCGTCTGACCACCGAGGCTAGAGGTTTCGCCTCGTCCGACCCTCAAGGGTTGGCTCCACCTCAGTGGACACTAAGGCCGCAGGCTCCGCCTCGCTCGACCCCCTAGGGTCAGCTCCACCTCAGTAGACTCCCGAGGGTAGGCTCTGCCTCGGTCGATCCCTGAGGGCCGGCTCCGCCTCACCCGACGTCTGAGGGCTGGCTCCTCTTCGGGTGACTCCCAAGGGTAGGCTCTACTTCAGCCGACTCTTGAGGGTAGGCTCCGCTTCGGCCGACCCTTGAGGACTGGCTCCGCCTCGCCCGATCCCTTGAATATGGTTCCTAACAGAAGATCACATCGCCACCAGCCACTACGGGCCAGAGAGTACCACTCAAGGTCAAACTTCTGGCATCGTGCAGGGAGCGGTCACATCTCAGCACGACCCATCCCCACGACATGTCATTCTGGGGAACTCACATCGTCCACAGTGATGGACGCGTGGTCACTGTGCTGTCAACTCCCTGCCTGACCACTGTCCAACGTCAGCCAAACCGGCGTCAGTTGACTCACTAGCACTGTACCGCTAGCCCCCCGCATGGCTTTCTGTCAGGGGACCCTCTGACCATTCCGTCCGTTCAGATGGGACAGAAGACAAGAATGGCACATGACACCCGCACGTAAGCTGCAGCGGCCAACAGGACCCCGGTACGACGCCACTGCCACCACGATCTACAGGGTCAGCGGGACCCACGCGGAAGAGGAGGACGTCGCACCTCCGGAAGCCTTATTTTCTCTTTCCTTTTTCCTCCACCCTTCGGTTGTAAACCCCCGCTTCCCCTTGACCTATAAAAGGGAAAGAAGGGCGTCCCACTGAGAGGGGCAATTCATCGAACAAACACACCGCATCACATCAGAGACTTGTGAGCTACCTCCCTCTCTCGCCAGTTTATAATCCCCTACTACAAACTCAGTGCTAGTAACACGAGCAGCTCAAAACTGGACGTAGGGACATTCGGCCCGAACCAGTATAATCCTTATATCCTCTTAGCATATTATCCGGATCAAACGCGCAATATACAAATTTACTAACCGGTGCTTACTCGAAACACCCACAATTGGTCAAAAGCGCCTGAACTTAGGTTCATACATGCATCTACGAGGAGTTGTCGTATCTGGTATCTAAATCCTTGACCTTTTAAGTTCTGAAATATAAAATTTCACGATCTTCTTGGAAGATTCGTCAACCGTGTCCTTTGACCAGACCGTTTCTTTCATAACATATCCCTGTAAACGCTGTGAGAGCGCGCTCATCCCCGTGGGCGGCATTACGAAGTTTCCTCCAATCCAAGAAGCTCCGTAGGCAGCTTCCGACTGTTTCCATAGTATATAGCCACTAAGCAGAAGGCTGGAGAACCGAGATATCCAGGCATTCATCCATCATCCCAGTCCCAGCAAGGAACGTCGGAGCCAGCCGGCCGGCAACTCTAACAATGGCCGGAGAGGGCGGTGGTCCAGCCCGCGGCGCTCGCGTCGTGCTGTGCCCACTACCGTTCCAGGGTCACCTCAGCCCGATGCTGCACCTGGCCGAGGCCCTCCACGCGCGGGGGGTCGCCGTCACCGTCCTCCACACGGCGTTCAACGCGCCGGACCCCGCGCACCACCCGGCGGGGCTGGCCTTCGTCGCCGTGCCGGACGTCATCCCGGAGGCCGTGGCCGCGACGAACAACGGCATCGCCAAGGTCCTCGCCCTCAACGCCGCCATGGAGGCGTCGGGGCACGTCCGCGACGCGCTCGCGTCGCTCCTCGCGGAGGAGGGGGCACCGCGGCTGGCGTGCCTCATCTTCGACTCCACCCTCTCCGCCGCGCAGAACGCTGCGGCTGGCCTCGGGCTGCCCACGCTCGTGCTGCAGACCGGCAGCGCCGCCTGCTTCCGTCTGTTCAGGTCCGACACCTACGACATGCTCCACGACAAGGGCTATCTGCCAGCCACAGGTCCGTAACATGTCCCTAACAAATGCTGCCACTGATTTTAGAAATATCTACGCAGTGTTGTAATTAGGCACGAATTTGCCATGAATAAATCTTGATAGAGATTATTTGTTTCATTTCAGAGTCCAACCTACACATGCCCGTGGAGGAGCTGCCACCTCTACAAGTGAGGGACCTGTTTGACCCAAGCAAGCTCCCCAACAAAGAAATCGTGCACAAGATCTTGAGTCGTGCCACCGAGACCAGAACAAACTCCTCCGGTGCAATACTCAACACATTTGAGGTTCTTGAGTCCCACGAGCTTGCGATGATCCGGGACGAACTTGCCCACAAAGGTATTCCACCCTTTGCCGTCGGTCCGCTTCACAAGCTCGTCACCTCTAACGATGGCGGCGCCGAGACTAGTCTACTCAACCAGGACCGCAGTTGCATCGAGTGGCTGGACACGCAGGCCCCTGGCTCCGTGCTATATGTGAGCTTTGGTAGTGTTGTTCATGTGACCCAAGACGAGTTTATGGAGATGGCATGGGGCCTAGTGAATAGCAGCAAGCCATTTCTATGGGTGGTTCGGCGTGGCCTCGTGCTTGGAGTGGACAAACAGGAGCTCCCGGATGGGTTCATGTCGGCTGTGGAGGGTAGAGGCAAGGTGATCGAGTGGGCACCGCAACAAGAGGTGCTTGCTCACCCTGCGGTAGGAGGCTTCTGGACTCACAACGGATGGAACTCCACCTTGGAGAGTATCTATGAGGGGGTGCCTATGCTGTCGAGGCCAATCTTTGGAGATCAATTGCCCACCGGAAGGTACGTGCGCGACGTATGGAGGATTGGAATTTTGTTGGAGGGTGTGCTAGAGCGAGGGGAGGTCGAGAAGGCCATCAAGAAGCTGATGGATGAAGATGAGGGAGTTGAAATCAGGAGAAGAGCAAAGGATCTGAAGGAGAAAGTGCGGATGTGCCTTGACAGCAGTGGGTCTTCTCAACAGGCCGTTGATAAGTTGGTGGATCACATACTTTCTCTTTGAATTTTTAATTACAACATTGTTATGTTCGCCCACGGTCTCTGTTGAATAAATTAACTACTGGTTTATGTAGCAGTGGCTTTTGTTAGCTCATGTTTCATAGCATCATGAATCTAGATTTTTGGCTTTCAGTTTTCACAATATTAGTTTACTAGTACAAAATTTTTGTATGAAATTAAACTCTTGTTCTCATTATACTTTTTATTACAACTCTCATTTTGTATTTTGTTAAAAAAAAGAATATATGTCCGAAGGACTGTGTGCTTCTAGCAAACGACTCTTCTGTCGGTTGCGTCACATGGTCACATTTTGTGCATCGAGGCACACATATTCCGACAAATTCCATCTCTATCTGTTGACCTCTCATCGCAACAACCACGCTGCACGCTCTACCGGCCACAGCGCCCATGGCCGGACAAGAGCATCAGCGCCGCCAGAGAATCGTGCTGTTCCCGCTGCCGTTCCAGGGCCACATCAGTCCTATGCTCCAGCTCGCGGCGCTGCTCCATGCGCGGGGCCTCGCCGTGACGGTCCTCCACACCGGCTTCAACGCCCCCGACCCCACGCGCCACCCGACCGAGTTCACCTTCGTCCCCATCCACGAGTCGTTCCCCGCCGAGGTCACCTCCCCCGTGCCGACATCGTCACGCAGCTCCTGGCCCTGAACGCCGCCTGCGAGGCGCCCTTCCGGGAGTCCCTCGCGTCGCTGCTGCTGCGCGGTGGCCAGGACCAGGACGTCGCGTGCGCGGTGGTCGACGGGCAGTGCTACTCCGCGCTGCGCGCTGCACACCAGCTGGGCGTCCCCGCGCTCGCGCTGCGGACGGACAGCGCCGCCACGTTCCGCAGCATGCTCGCGTACCCACGGCTGCGCGACGCCGGTTTCGTTCCCGTCAAAGGCAAGTGAAAGCAAGACCAAACTCGCACTGGATCGGATCGATCTTGGAACGCACATGTCACTCCTGATTCGCTACCTGCAGAGGAGAGGCTGGACGAGCTGGTGCCGGACCTCGAGCCGCACCGAGCGCGAGACCTGATCCGCGTCGACGGCAGCGACACGGACGCGCTGTGCGGCTTCATCGGCAGCGTCGACGACGCCATGCGCGCCTCGGCGTCCGGCGTCGTCATCAACACGTTCGAGGGGATCGAGGCGTCGGAGCTGGCCAAGATCCAGCGCGATCTATCCCGTCCGAAGTTCGCGGTCGGGCCTCTGCACTTGCTGTCCCAGGCATCGGTGGAGCAGGGCCTGCACGCGCCGGACCGCGGCTGCCTGGCTTGGCTGGACGCGCACCCGCCGCGCTCCGTGCTGTACGTGAGCCTGGGCAGCGTGGCCTGCGTCGACCGCGGCGTCTTCGAGGAGATGGCGTGGGGGTTGGCCGTCAGCGGCGTGCCGTTCCTGTGGGTTGTCCGGCCGGGCATGGTCAGCGGCGGCGGCGAGGAGGTTCCACCATTGCCGGACGGGTTCAGCGAGGAGATCAGGAGCAGGGGCAAGATTGTCTCATGGGCGCCACAAAGAGAGGTCTTGGCGCACGCAGCCATTGGTGCTTTCTGGACGCACTGTGGATGGAACTCCACGTTGGAGAGCGTCTGCGAAGGCGTGCCCATGCTTGTGCAGCCGTGCTTCGCGGACCAGATGGTGAATGCGAGATATGTCACGCATGAGTGGGGTGTTGGGATGGAGGTTGGGGAAGAGATTGAGAAGGGGAGGGTCGCCAAGGCGGTGACCAAACTGATGGTTGGGGAAGATGCAGCTCAGGTGAGGGGGAGGGCTCACCACCGTCTGCAGAAACAGGCATCTGCTGCTACTAGTTTGTCCATAGCCAGTCTAGTCCATTACATATCGTCCCTGTGAAATGCAAAAATTTGTCATGCCAAATTGTCAAATACTAATGTGTTGCAAACTTGCAATCTGTCAGGAATATGAATATAACATTTAGGAAGTGCAAAATATCGACTCTGCAATTGACAATACCATAACAATGTGTCGAACTATGCTCCGCTCCCAATGCAAAGAAGCCTGTTCGAGGTTCCATTTTAGGTCTCCTTTGAAACAAATGATTTTTTTCTTATTTTTATGTGCTTTCCTATGAAAATAAATGTCTATAAAATTCCTACACTGTGAAATTCCTACTATTTAGAGAAGCCCTTAATTAATCTTTGCTAAAATGTCATGTTATTGGCTATCCCCTAAATACAAGGTTGGATCTAATGTATTCTCTTTTCATCCCCAAACCAAACAAATGGTAAAACTGTACTCCATCCGTCCCAAAATAGATGACGTTTTTATTTTTAGATATCATGTTTGACCATTTTTCTTATTTAGTTTCTTTATGCAAATAATAAAATAAATAAGTCATTATTAAAGTATCTCTAATGATAAAATAAGTCATAACAAAAATAAATAATATTTATACAAAAAATTTAAATAAGATGAACAATCAAACCAGATGTCTAGAAGTGAAAAATGTCATGTATTTTGAGACAGAGGAGTACATGTAACACCCTGTTTTTGTATATCAAGAATGTCGATGGTTGTTGATATCAAATGTGTGCAAATCATGTGTATTAGCAATTGATCCAGAGGAGAGAGGACAAATACAACAACACTTTTTCTCAAAACGAGTGCCTATTAACCAGCAAAAGTACCGGTCCTACTCTCTGTTGGTTTTTTTTAAGGACAGTCAATCTTCCTCTGCTGCACATAGCGAGCAAGGACAAGTCGCCACTCGCCAGGACTGCAACACCGGGTTTACACTAGAAGAATCCCTAAAAATAAGATCTAAGAGGAAAATAAGCCAAAAAACTAAATTTTCATCAATCAATAATTTAGCATCATTTGTCTAGTACTCCCTCCGCCCTAAATATCTATTGTTTTCGGTTCCCGAGTAACAACTTTAACTATATATATATATATATATATATATATATATATATATATATATATATATATTTACGGTATATAATTAATATCATAAGATAAATATTTGAATCTAGTTTTTTAATGATTTTATTTGAAGATATAAATATTATACATATTTTCTATAAATTAAATCAAACTTTCGGTAGGAAAACCAACGAGAACAGTTAATTAGAGACAAATGGAGTAGAGTACGAGCAGTGTTCAACACACTTGTACAGCTCGCCTGCCTCCGCCATTGGCTGCACGCAACATCGTGAGACCGGTGGCCCCCATTATCACGCCGCCGGCATTGAAAACTGTGAGAGAATTGAACTGCACGAGTTTTCCATTAACAGTGATGAGGTACATATACATGTTGCCGAAGCACTGCCGACCATTCATACACAACTGCATCCTATACAAGTGGATCAGCCATGGACCAAAGGAGAGGCTATCTAGTGTTTGACTAAATCACCAAGAACTAGTCCTATCCTATCTATCTGGCCGGTGAGGAGATGTGCGCTGACACCCCCCTCAGTTGAAGCTTCGGAAGACCGTATGCATAACTGTTTCTGAATTCTTCGAACAGCGGCGTTGGTAATCCTTTAGTCATGATGTCTGCAATTTGCTGGCGAGTAGGAATATGCAGGACCTTGAATTTCTCAAGCGCCACTTTCTCCCGAACAAAGTGGATGTCAAGTTCCACATGCTTGGTGCGCCGGTGATGAACTGGATTTTCGGACAGGTAGACAGCTGAAATGTTATCACAATATATCACAGTGGCCTTGTCGACGATGACATAAAGCTCTTGGAGCAAGTTCCTGAGCCAGCAGCATTCCACAGCGGCATTGGCCACTGCCCAATATTTTGCCTCGGCGCTTGACCTGGAGACGGTGGTCTGGCGTTTTGAGGACCAAGAGACCAGCGACACACCGAGGAACACGCAGTATCCCGACGTCGATCGCCGAGTGTCCGGGCAGCCTGCCCAGTATGCATCGGAATATGCCTTGAGCTCAGTGGACAGGGTTGCCAAGATCAAGATGCCGTGGTCAATGGAGCCGCGGAGGTAGCGAAGGATTCGCTTGACGAGATTCCAGTGAGCTTCATGTGGAGCTTGCATGTAGAGGCAAGCCTGATTCGCGCCCGTGATGCTGCGGTAGAAGGTGCCATCAGTGGCTGGCCCATCAGTGCTCGCGGACAGTTTGGACTTGGTGTCCACTGGAGTAGCCGCAGGCTTGCAGTTGGCCATGCCTGCACGCTCCAAGATGTCTTCCGTGTACTGCTCTTGAGTGAGGAAGAGAAGAAGTTCAAGGCACCGAGATCCTTGATGGCAAACGCTTTGGCGCAGCTGCTCGACGACGTGCTGCAGCAAAGGTGTTGTGGACGCCATGAGAATGATGTCATCAACATAGACGAGCAGGTATGCGGTGCGTGCGCCGCGCTTGTAGACGAACAGCGAGCTGTCAGAGCCCGTTGGAGTGAAGCCCATGCCATGGAGATGCGCGCCAAAACGCTGTAACAACGCCCGCAGTGCCTACTTATGGTCGTACAGGGACTTGATGAGCTGGCAGACGTGGTTGGGGTGGTCGGAGTCGATGAAGCCTGCTGGTTGATCACAAAAGACGCGTTCCGTCAGGTTGCCATGGAGGAAGGCGTTCTTGACGTCGAGTTGATTCACCGGCCAACGTCGAGTGGTGGCGAGGTGCAGCACTGTGCGGATGGTGGCGGGCTTGACCACCGGTGAAAAGGTTTGGTGGAAGTTGACCCCGGGTCGTTGGGAGAACCCGCGGACAACCCACCGGGCCTTGCGCTGTTCGAGAGAGCCATCTGGATGGAGCTTGTTCTCGAAGAGCCACTTGCCGGTGATGACATTGGCATGTGGCGGTAGTGGAACGAGCGTCCATGTCCCATTCGCCTTTAGGGCATCGAACTCGTCTTGCATCGCGGCGTGCCAGGCAGGGTCACGAAGAGCAGCACGGACAGACGGTGGTGGCGGCGTTGGAGAAGCCGCAGCCACGTGTGCGTATTTGGGGTTGGGCATGTGGATGCCGTCCTGAGCATGCGTGACCATGGGATGGCGCAGCGGCGGCACAACCGTGCCGGGAAC